CGTACCGAGCGCGTAGCGCCGCGCGTCGAACGCCGAGGGACAGCATTTCTGCCGGTGCGTTTACACATAATCAGTTTCATACATCCGATAATGAGCGATGTGATTCTTAATAATTGCATAATTAATAAATTTATCACAATCTGTTTCCTTTCTTTCGAAAATCGGAAATGCGAACATAATTACATCGATATTCATTCACGTTCTACATTGTTTTATCGAATCAGAGAATCCTCTCGTAAAATAAGAGATACGCTTGACTTTGTAGCACAGTAGTGGGGATAGCTTCGCCAACGAAGCTTCGCTACATGAAAATTGAAAAGGATACGGGGCTTCAGTGAAGAGCGAAGAACGCTGGCTTCGTTTACGGCGGAGTGGGGGGTCTTCGCCAGCGAAGCTTCGCTGCATGAAATGGCACCTATATCGGTACACGGCACGTCGCGCCGAGAAACATTTTTAGTCGCTCGCGACAAGCGGACGAGCGAGAGAGAGAGGCGATCGTGACGTAGCGTCTGCCATCTCGCTCGCGCTCGGCTAGTGTGCATGCGTCGAAGGCTGAAGCACGCTGAAGGACAGATGTGCATCACTGGGTATGGACTATGGCTCTGTTAAAGAAAATGGCGGATTGGCGGATGTACTACACTCGCGGAACGTTTATTATAGTTCAAAATTTCGTTCTCGGTGAAGAGGGTGATGCGACTGGTGAAGATAGCGACTATGCAGTCAACAGAAAAAGCAGAAAATCGTCGTCCAGAAAATCCTCCAGTCATAATACATCGACCACTCAGAGCCAAGAACCTACAACAGGCATGCCCACGATTGAAGAAGTGTGCAATACATTTGGTTTAACAGATGTACAAATTGAATATTCCTGTTGGAAAAGAGGTAATTCACATCAAGCTAATTATCGACTACTGATATGATTAGATTCAGTTAGATGGCTCTATCGAAGCGATAGTCTATTGTAAAGGTTGAACATCGTTGTTGTTCGTCCCTTTTCCTGGCGGACCATGGTACCGAGTGGATGTGTGTGAGCTGCGTGCTATTGTGAAGCCTTGCAATAACGACGTTTGTTATCCGTTACAGATAAGTTTATTATAAGTCATCTACTAATTCATTTGACTGTTAGACTGTTATTAATGCTGATATATGTTTATTGTAATAACTGATTCTCTTCATGTTTAATGATTTTGTAAAGGGTGTTAAACACCTTTTGTGATTAAATTGTTTCTCATTATAAATGATCTTTCTCTTGCTAATTGGCTGAGGCTGATTAATATAAGATTGTATTTTGTGCAATCTTAGCCTTTAAGCTAAGTAATAAGTAAAATACTTCAACAATTCCGACGCTGATTTCCAAAATTTAACAACATACAAGCTCTTTCAACATGTGAGACCGCTCTTAGCAAAAGAAAATCCAAAAGTGCGTGCATTTTTATATATCAATAACTTGTACAATATAATATAATTATCAGTTATTATTATATTTACTTAAATAATTTGTTCTTGTATGATTATAGGTTCCAATGTCAAAACTTATGATGTTGGTGGCAGCCAAGTGGCGCGATTTCTCTGAATTAAATCCACATATGCAACCAGATGCAGATCTTCTTCTTGGTTAATGGCTCCAACCTCCAACAGCGGAGGCAATACGACCAGATCACGTCTAATTGTCTTTCGTCAAATAGGTATAACAATAGCGGGTGATGCAATGCCAATAAATTATTCTATCATGATTAAAATGAAATAATTATTTTCCAAATTTCTTTTTGCTTTCTATGAACTGACCACCAGGATTATTGTGAAGTATGTCAACAAGGCGGTGAAATCATATTGTGCGACACTTGTCCCAGAGCATACAATTTAGTGTGCTTAGAGCCTGAAATGGAGGAAACATCAGAAAGAAAATGGAGTTGTGCTCATTGCGGTGGAGAAGGTATTGCAGGTACCCATGTCCTACCATACCACAGCCTTGAATCTCCTTATCCCTTTCTAAAACACTCTGCTTATCATTCAGCAAACGACAACTATAGTTATGTTTGTACTATCAGGTGCAGCAGAAGACGACGATGAACATATGGAATTCTGTAGAGTATGCAAGGATGGTGGAGAATTATTATGCTGTGACAGTTGTACGAGTGCGTATCACACGCATTGTCTAAATCCTCCTCTATCAGAAATTCCTGATGACGATTGGAAATGTCCTAGATGTTCTTGCCCACCATTAAGAGGAAGAGGTATGTCATTACAAACATGATATGTCTCTTTAGTAATTTTATATT